GCTTCCACAGCTTAGCTGCCATGAGTGCACTAAGGTCTCTCTGAGTCCCTGTCGGTCACTATTTTAAAAAGATACCCAGAAGCGCACTTTACTGTGTGACGCAGCTTCTCTCCATTAAGCATTCTACAGTGCCTGCATCATCTTACATTCCCACCAACGGCGTACAAGTGTTCCGGATACTCCACGCTCTTACAAACGTTTGTTATTTCTTGAAGCTTTTGTTATTTAATAGTAGCATCGTAATGGGTGTGAGGTGATATGTGCTGGATATTTGGCTTTAATTTTATATATTTGCGGTCGTGTGGGTGTGATGTGTGTGAGTATAGTTCCGCCCTTGCGATGGCGCGCTTGTGGAGGTCAGAAGGCAACCTTGTGGAGTCAGCTCTCGCCTTCAGCACTGTAGCTTCCAGGACCTTAAATTCGGTCTTCAGGCTTGGCAGCAATCACCTTTACCCACTGAGCCATCTCCCCAGCCCTTAATCCCATTTTTTTCCAACTGTATTTATTGTTTACAGCTCTTCAAATCATGTACTGACTTCACAACATTCACTCCCCAGCACGAAAAGACAGAGGCATTAATTGGCCCAGCTATGATAGGTCAATGGCTACACCCTCCACTGCTCGGGAGCTTAATACCCAAGTAAGAGTGGGAGCCCTGGGATGGATTCAGGATACTTGTGGCAGCCCCAGGCCTGGCTTCAGCGGCTCATTTCTTCCCTTCCCCTGGAGATGGGGGAGGGGAGCTGAGGCCCCTCCCTCTAAGCAGGCACAACCCCAGCCACAGAACAGGAGCCCCATAGAGAAGACACCTTCTGCAGCTGCAACACAGGGTCAAAACCTCAGAGTTTATCAGGGTGACAAACAGTCAGGAGCAAAGCGGGAAGGGCAACAACCGCTTCTTAGTAACGCACGTAGGCGATTTCAGAGCTCAAGTTCAGAGAAACAAATTGAATTACGGAGGAGACAGCTCTGCCATTTGCAACACTGGATTGTTTGAAATCCTTTTAGTGGAAAATTAAAATATTTCACAGAGGGTAATAAAATGCCGTGTGCTTGGCAGGCATGACTGCTCAGCTCTCTTGGGCAAATAAGTAATTAGGTATTTGTATTTAAGGCCTCTGTGTCGTCATTTTCTTTCATTAGCACAGGGGTGGAATGCTGTTGTGGAAAACACCAGAAAGTTACTTATAACATTAGTTTTTAAAGTACAGCATAACTTCATTTGGTGAGTCAAAGGGAAGGCCTTGGAATTTATTTTCTCAAAAAAATTATTTTTATGGCAAGTGGCTCAAAGATGCCACTGCTTCACCATGACCTGGCATGGGTGCCATCTAAAACACTTGATGCTACATCTCAGGTTAGCCAGGCTGAGGGAGCCAGAAGATGTTCTGAGCTTCACGCCTCTGCTAGGCACTAGATCACCCACTGAGGAACCTGCCACTCAGTCCCACTCCACCATCCCTCCCCACATTCTGCTGATGTGGAAATGGTTGCTTTTCCTCTGCTCCCTTCCACAGATGAGGAAACTGTGGGCGTATCTGAAATGTTCTTTCCTTCCTGGCGCCCATGGATCTTGGGGCGACTGCCTGTCAATGTCTATATCCCCCCATAGCTCTGGTCTGCTCCCCAGGCCTGAGCAAGGGCTTCTAGAGTGGAGAGTAAGCCAACGACATGCCCCATCAATAAGGGAGAGCTCAACCCAGCCCTGAGCCACTGGTATAGGCTGACATCTTTTTTTGTAATTACGTTGTATTGTGCTTTATTTCTGTGCAAGTGTGGGTGGTTTATATATGTGTCTGTGTGGGTGTATATGTATATGTATATGTATATGTATATGTATATGTATATGTATATGTATATGTATATGTATGCAGGTGCCTACAGAGGACAGAAGAGGGTGTCACAGGCATTTGTGTTATAGGCACTTGGGAGCTACCCAGAATAGGGTCCAAACTCTGGCCTCATTGATGGAATAGCAAGCACTTGTAACTGCAGAGCTCGTCTCTCCAGCCCCCAAGCTGGCATCTTGAATCTGCCTCCTTGCCCCAGATGCTCTCTTGGGCCATATACAGAAGGGTAAGGATGGAGAGTCAGATAGTCCACTTTTTGCAAGACTGGTCTAAGACCCGGACAAAGCCACTTCTGAGGTGGAGGGAACACAGACATGACCATTGGTATTTGTTCCTCTTCAAAACCTCTCCAGGACTAGGACGACCTCCAGCAGCCATTGCTGTTCCCCAATACCCACCACCCAGGTAGTTACACAGTAGTTTCCAGTGAGATGAGTGGGTGTGTGTCTGGGGATGGGGTGCAGGGGGGGGAATGTGAGCACTTGCAGAGCTGCCTTCCCAGCAGCTACCTGTACACTCGTCCCAACCCCACCCCTGCTGCTCATGTGCAAGCATCTAGTACTGGCCCCCTGCCCTGCTTCTTTCCCACCAACTAGTCCACCTTGAGCCGACAGCAAATAGTAGGTAAGCACCTCCTATGTGCTGGGTCCATGCTTGCTCTGGGAACTTGGAAAGAATTAGAAGGCAAAAGATGGACCCACACATGAGATATTTGAGCATGTCCTTAAGGAAGGACTTTGCCCAGCAACTAAGAGAAAGAGATTCTGCAGGAGCAGTCCATGTTTCTCTGAGCCTCCAGGACAAGAGATTCTGCTAGAGGACCAGCAGGTGCTGAAGGGTGTGTCAAAGGAGCGAACAACTTACTGTACTTATTTGTAGAGTTTAAAAGAAACACTCTCTGCTTTTTTTTTTTTTTTGGTTGAAACAGGGTCTCACTATATAGCCCAGGCTGGCCTCGAACTTACAGAGATCAACTTGCCTCTGCTTCCTGAGTGCTGGGATTAAAAGTGTGCACCGCAATGCCTGGCTCCACCTTATTTTTGAGAGAGTCTTGCACAGAAGCTGGGCTCACCAATTTTTCTTGACTATCTGGCCAGCGAGCTCCAGAGATCCTGCTGTCTCTGCCTCCCCAGCACTCCCAGGTTTTCTTTTTTATGAGCAAATGAACCAGGATGTGCTGGAGATACCCACAGAAACAGCTGACCTGACCTAGTGAGAGCATGGAGACCCTAGTCATAAAGCTGGGGAGCCAGCATTGGACCCAACCAAGGCCTCTGAATGGGGTGCCAGCTAGGAGGCCAAGGCAGTCTATGGAAGCTCTAACAGTGGAGCCAGAGTTTATTCCTAGGTCACAAATGGACTTTGGGAGCCCATTCCCTGTGGAGGGATACTATTGCAGCCCAGACACTCCCAGGTTTTCATGGGGGTATTAGGAGTCCAGACACAGGGACTCATGCTTGTGTGGCAGTCACTATGTGACTAAGCCATCTCTCCTTCCCTGTTTGGCCATTTTTTAAATTTAACAGAAGTAGCTGTTCTGGATGTTCTAACCTAAGTCAAATCCAGGAGGATGTCCCACCCACACTGTGAACATGCTACTGAAAGGCGTGAGATACATGGGACACCTGGTCTCAAGGGACTTATGCTGAGTGAAAAAGCCAGTCCCCACCAATGACATCCTATATGATTTCCTGTATGTCCCATGCTTGACATGACTGACATGGGCTGGGGATGTCATAGTAAAGCACTTGCTTAACATGTACAAGGATCTGGATTTGATCTCCAGCACTGCGCGGAAAGAAAAAGAGAAATGAGGAATGTGGAAACTGGTGGCCAGAGGCAGAGAGAGAGCAGACTGTGGCCATCAAAGGGTGAAACAGGGATGCATTAAAAACTGTCCTGTTTACGCATCATGGTACTTCCAGGAATCAATATCATGCCTTGATAAAGAACCAAATACACATGGATGCATGTAGGGTCTGAACGAGGTTGCTGCAATTGTGTCTGCATCCCTGCCTTGTTGTGATATTGTTTCTATGGTGATGTGGAAGCTAACACTGGGGGAAGCTGTGAGCAGAGTATTGGAGGACCTCCTCTGTTAGTTTTCATCAACAGCTATCTTAAGATAAAATGCCACAACACACACCCGAGGATGATTAAAAACAAACTGAACACCGAGACCAGTTCTAGGTCAAATGCTGAGTTCTGAAGATGAGAAGAAATATACAGAGGGGTTCAACTTTAACCCACATGTTTGACTTTTCAAAAAAAGAAACATCTAGCCAGAAATGGTGGCACATGCTTATAATCCCAGCTCTTGGGAGCTAGAGGTAAGAGGATCAGGAGTTTTAGAGCATGTTGGGCTGTGTACCAAGTTCAAATCCAGCCTGAGCCACATGAGACAGACCTTGTCTCAAAACAAGCAAACATGAAAAGAATTTGAAGCAGTTATGTAGTTGTCTATTTCTTATATCGTTATCTTTTTATGTTGGAAATTATACTGGTTGTTTCTTGTTAATGTTACACAAGCTAGAATCGTCTAGATAGAGGAACCTCCACTGAGAAAACACCTCCATCAGATTAGCCTGTAGACAATATTTCAGGGCATTTTCTCCACTAATGAGTAATGTGACAGAGCCCAGGCCTCTGTGGGAGGTGTCATCCCTGGGCAGATGGTCTTGAGCTGTGTAAGAAAGCAGGCTGAGCAAGCCATGCGGTGCAAGCCAGGAAACAGTGTTCCTCCGTGGCTTCTGCTTCAGTTCCTGCCTCCAGGTTCCTGCCTTGAGTTCCTGCCCTGACTTCTCTTAATGATGGACTATGATCAGGACATGTAAGATGGAATACACCGTTTCCTCCCCAAGTTGCTTTTAAGTCACAGTGTTTCGTCACAGTAGAAAGCAAACTAGAACAGAAATCATTCATAATTTTTTAAAAAGCAAATTCTGCTTAATGACCTGCCCCAAAATCAGGACTAGCCTAGAATGTCTCAGAGACCCAGAGGATCTCAGAGGCCCATATCCTAGCCACCAGTGGCCCTAGACTCCTGACGGCTCAGCCAAGCAGCAGCATCAGGGTCAAAATGATAGCCAGGACAAGGCTTCCTCTGTGGCAAGTCCTGCCCTGCACAAGCCACGCCGCCTCTCTCCACAGCCCCCAGAAAAGGAGGGTGCCCTGCCCCGGCAGGTGGGCAACAAGACTGAGTGCGGCCTGCTGGGCTTCGTCCTGGACTTGAAGCAGGACTACGAGCCGGTGCGCAGCCAGATGCCAGAGGAGAAGCTGTATAAGGTGTACACCTTCAACTCCGTGCGCAAGTCCATGAGCACCGTCATCAAGATGCCTGACGAGAGCTTCCGCATGTACAGCAAGGGTGCCTCGGAGATTGTGCTCAAAAAGTAAGCCACCCACCCAACACAGCTGTGGATGTCTGGGTCACAGGTCACCACCCTATACAGGCTGAACCTAAGCAAGTGCAGTCACTGTCCCTCTGCACCTCAGTTTCCCCATTTGAACATTTGGTCAATCCCGGAGATTCTCAACCCTGACTTGTCATGCATTAGAATCAGCTCAATGAAAAGAAAAAGGAAAGAAGCAGGCAGTGGTGGCACACACCTTCAGTCCCAGCACTTAGGAGGCAGACAGGAGAATCTCTGAGTTCAAGGCCAGCCTGGTCTACATTGAGACCCTCTTTCAAAGAGACAGCAAGAATGATGGACAGGAAAAAAGACAAACATTGATTCCTATGTCACTCCAGCCAGTTCCCAGTAGAACCATGAAGGCTGGTCAAAGGCTTCATTGTATTAGATGCTCCTCAGGCAAGCCTGATACCTAAGCAAGGTAGAGAACCACTAGCCTAGGTATAGGGCTTCCCAGCCCATCTCCGCTGAGGTACTGCTTCCTGGCCCCCAGCTGGAATCTCCCAAACACAGCATGCAGCAAACAGCTGAGGGTCCTGAGGCAAATACTTAAAAAGACCACCTAGCTGCACCCCTGCCTGTGATGCACAGGCCTGGTGAATGCACTGAGGCATCATGGGAGGTAGACCAGATGGGTATCCGATGGCTAAGGTAGGTGAGCCTCATTCATCTTCTTCCCCTCCCTCCACCAGGTGCTGCAAGATCCTTAGTGGGGCAGGTGAGTCCCGTGTCTTCCGGCCCCGTGACAGAGATGAGATGGTGAAGAAGGTGATCGAGCCCATGGCCTGTGACGGACTCCGTACCATCTGTGTGGCCTACCGTGACTTCCCCAGCAGCCCCGAGCCCGACTGGGACAATGAGAATGACATTCTCAATGAGCTCACGTGCATCTGTGTGGTGGGCATTGAAGACCCAGTGCGACCTGAGGTAGGCCCCGAGGCCGGCGAGCTCAGGAGAAGCGGGCAGGGTGAGAGTCGGGCCAGTGAGTAAACTGGGAACTCTGTCTGCTCAGGTTTCTGAGCGTCAGGTCCCCGTGCAACAGGCATGGGATCCTTCCCCGCTCCCAGACATTCCACATAAAGCCAGTGTAGATGTATTTAGCAACTGTCTACTCAGAAAGACCTGGGAAGAACCTCCCATAGTCCAGAAGCAGGAACTGCTCTGAAAACAGTATTAATACCACCCCCCCATCACAGCCACCAAGGGTGTTTCCCTAGGGATGGGTGTAGGGCTTGCCTAGCTCCAGAAGCTTCTAATCCTATAAGATGTAGCTATTGTGGTATTCAAGCTTCCATTACTGCAGGGTACACAGGGCATCCTCCCAGGAGAACCCAGAGCATAATGTTCTGTCAGCGTTGCAGTCTCTCTCTCCCCAGAGGTGGCTTAGTAATAGGGTCCCATGGCCAGCCTGCTAACACAGTCACCATCTGCCTTCAGCAGGCATCTGGGAGACAAGACTCCCAAGCCAATGGTAAGTCACATTCCCAGCAGAAGGGACAGGTGACTTCACCCATGTGATAAGGATGAAAGTGGTATGTAAAGTATTCCTCATGGGGTGCTGGGTGCACAGTCCAGCTCTAGGCTCTGTTAACTGAATCTGAATCCAGAGAGAAGGTCTGCCATGGTCACAGAAGAAGGGCTATGTGGTCCATGTCTGCCCATGCAGGGTTAGGCTTTGTGCAAAGATGTCAGTGCTAGAGGCAGGCCACGCATTCACCCTACCCACAGGGCCTGGAGCAGGTGCAGGAGCTGGATCCTCTTCCCTCAGGCCCTAGCGAGTCCACATAGGCCTTGGCTGTGAGATTTGGTGTTGATACCCTGAAGGACTACCTTCCTTCAACAACGGCAGATTCGGTGTCCTGCCCTGCCCTGACCGTGTTCTCTTTGGACCTCTGGACACTCGCTGCTCTCTAAGAGCCCCAGTGGTCCCTTTTTAAAAGTGAGGATAGGTGGAGAGATATCTGCAGGCTCCTGTCTGGTGCTGTAGGGTTCTGTCTTCCAAGGAACAGGTGAAACCAGGTTCCATGGACTTTGACATTCAGGCAGCTACAAAAGGCATCAGAGTGTGAGCCAAGGTACCAGACAGACCTGGATTCCTATGTGCTAGTATTGCTGGGCTGTGTGACATTTAGCCAATTACATAATCTCTCTGAGCCATATCAGAAGGGAGCACCTGGGAAGAGGCTGGGCAGGTCATGGGCAGGTGGCCTGACATACCACGATGAACCTCTGGTGCCTGTACCCAGTGGTTTCCAGTAAGGAGATAAACGTAAACCCATCTCTGGGCCACCTGAGTTCACTAACTGCTGGTGACAAGCAGCTGTCCTGGAGGATTGAAACCCATCTTCGGGGACTAGGAGTTGACAGATCCCCCTGACAGGCTGACAGACAGGAAGAGGGCTACAACTCCAGACTGACCCTGCCCCAACCAGCCTTGGAAACATCCTTCCAGAGGACAATAATAAGTCGTGTAAGCTGCTAAGGGTTTTAGCTATGACCCACCCTTGTGACTCAGTAACACACTTAGCCCACTAAGAATTCCATGAAGTCAAAAACGCCAGAGGCGTCCTCTTTCCGTTTTAAATGCTGGCCATTGAGGATTGAACCTTGACTCATCCAGACCCTTTCCCGTTCATCAGTTTAGATATGCTCACTGAGAGTCTGGGAAGGTCCCAAAGTCTCACTGTAAGTGACTGGATGGGTCCAGAGTAGACTGGTGTTCTGGGCCTTGACCCAGGTACCATAGAAAGGAGTCAGGAGGAGAAGCCCCAGAGAGCTCCATGCCCAAGGCCTTGGAGCAGGGCTAAGCCCCCAGTACTTTTTGATGACAATATTGACTTCTGGAGTTCCTGCTTCAAACACACAAATGGCAAGGGGCAGCTGAACAAAGCCAAGCTTTGCCCCCAAAAAGCCACCTGCTTCCATCGGAACCTTTATCTTCTATCTGTAGAATGGGTGTCGACCTAGGGGCCCTTTCCTTCCAGGGTCTGCCATCTTTAGATCAGAGGCACCTGCTAGAAGCCTCACACCCACACCCACTAAGCCTTCCATCAGTCCATCATCCTGCCCATCACCTTTCCGTCATCCAGCCTGGACCCCATCCTACCCACGGCCCTCTGGGGGGTGTATTCAGAAATGTAAGCTATGATACAAGCAAGACGGCTTGGCTCGGTGGGTAAGAGTGTTTGCCATGCAAGCCAGATGACTTAAGTTTAATCTCTAGAATCCGGATAAAGGTGAAAAGAGAGAACTAACTCTACAGAGCTGTCCTCTGACCTGCACATGTGCACTGTGGCATGTAAAAATCATACACACACACACACACACACACACACACACACACAGATAATAATCTATTTTAGTTTCTAAAGAATCGCAAGCTGCAGTTGGAAGCTGTAGCTTCCTCCAATAGCATCAATGGTTGGGACAGCAGCTTTACCACGCCCCTCTGATGTTTTCGCGTGGGTGATGTATCAGTTCCTTTCTCATCACTGCAACAACACACCTGACCAAAGCAACTTAAGGAGCAAAGGGTTTGCTTGAGCTCATACTTTGGAGGGGAAGGCATGACGGCAGGAGTGTGAGGCACCGGTCACATGGCACCTGCAGTCAGGAAGCCGGGAGAGATGCATGCTAGGGCTCAGCTCGTTTTCTCCTCGTCATTCAGTCTAGGACCCCAGCCCATGGATAGATACTGCCCATTGCTAGGGTGGATTTTCCCTCTTCAATTAATCTAATCTAGAAAATCTCTCACAGACATGGCCAAAGAGTTGACCCCAATATTATTGCCGATGCTGTCAGTAGCAGGCGATGTAAAACATCACAGGTGCCGTAGGTAACATCTCCTCCTGGGCTTCAGTTTCCTTGTGTATGAATTTCAGAGTTAAACAGCAGAGCTGTGAAATGGGGTGGAGAGATGGGGGTCTTCTTTCTCCTGCTAAGACTTGAACCTAGAGCCTCATCTGACAAGACCCCCAGTTCCACCACACAAGGAGTCCCCACCAAACCCAGGGACCAATTCCCACCTCACAGGCAGCCCCCACCACACCCAGGCCTCAGGGCGCACCTCACAGGCAGCCCTCACCACACCCAGGCCTCGGGGCGCACCTCACAGGCAGCCCCCATCATACCCAGGCCTCGGGGCGCACCTCACAGGCAGCCCCCATCATACCCAGGCCTCGGGGCACACCTCACAGGCAGCCCCCATCATATCCAGGCCTCGGGGCGCACCTCACAGGCAGCCCCCACCACACCCAGGCCTCGGGGCTCACCTCACAGGCAGCCCTCACCACACCCAGGCCTCGGGGCGCACCTCACAAGCAGCCCCCACCACACCCAGGCCTCGGGGCTCACCTCACAGGCAGCCCCCACCACACCCAGGCCTCGGGGCGCACCTCACAGGCAGCCCCCATCACCAGCTTGGTAAGTGACTTTCCCGCAGGGTCCCCGCCTATGTCAGGTGTCTCATGCTGCTTTCCCAGCTCTGTCCTGCAGTGGGTCCCCAGACTTTCCCAGGCTCACTCTTCAGCTGCAGGTAAACACTCTCCACTTACATCAGTTTCCCCGCTGTCACACTGCCTTCCTCTCTCAGGCCCACCACAGGCCAAGCAGCATAAAACATTGACCAAAGTTCCTACTTAAGGCAATCTGAAAGCTAACAGAAGACAGTATGGAGGAAGCTGTCAATAGAGCATCGGTCTAGGCCATGCTGGGGGTTACCCCGGGCGTGTTCAGAGCCCTTGGAATCACAGACACCGGCTGTCACCAGAAACAGCAGATGTTTAAAAGCCTTTATGTAATGACAACAGGAAGCGCCCATTTTCTGGCTGTTTTTCCTTGGTGAGAATATCTTGGATAATTTTAGCAAAGGAAGCCACGTTTTAAAATAGTTAACACTGGATTCATTTACATGGAAAGCATATTTCAGCCAGAGCCCTCCCCTGAGATCGGAGTCTTAATCATCTCTGTCCTCAGAGCTTAGAGCAACTGAATATTACATTGCTGTTTGTTGAGTGAATGAGTGAATGGCCAAAGAAAATCCTGAGCACAGTTGAAGGAAATGTCCCTCAGGGCTGGAGGGACGCTTCCTGAGGAGAGAGCACTGTGCACAGAAGGCAAGGTCCTCCTCACAGATAAAGGCTGAAGGGAAAGGGCATCCCAGGTCGCAGGGGCAGAGTGGGCAAAGAAAAGGAAGTGGAAAAGCATAGCTTTCCATTATGTAATAAAATAACGGACATCACGAGCTTACAGAGAAGAGAGGCCCCATTGGGCTCATAGTTTCAGAGGTGTCAGTAGGCGGGCCCCACCTCTTTGGGGCCTGTGACAGGGCAGTGACATGGCAGTGAAGCATGTGGCAAGGCCACAGTCAATGGCAGAGCTGAGAGCCAGAAGACAGAAGAGACTGAGAGTCCCCTTCCAAGACACCCCACATACCATCCCTTGAAGATCCTGGCACCTCCTGTTAGTGTCACCTGAGGACTGAGACTCCAATATACAGGCCCTCAGAGAACTCTCTGGGTCTGAACTACCTCAGGCGCTACTCAGGGGCCCCTTGTGAGAACCCCTATGGCATTTATGAGAGGAAAGCATAGAAAGGAGCTCGGAGCCTTGTCCTCCCAGACCTGGCTGTTTGGCAAAGCCTAGAATGTGGTCAACTTTTTCCTGTGAGGCAGTTTAAAAGTCTGAGTCCTGGGCCAGGTGTGGTGGCACACACCTTTAGTCCCAGCACTCAGAAGACAGAGGCAGGTGGATCTCTGTGAGTTCAAGGCTAGCCTGCTCTTCATAGTGAGACTCTGTCTAAAACAAACAAGTAAAGTGTGAGTCCTAAATTACTACACTACAAACCACCTTGTCTGCAGTGCAGGACTTCCCAAGACTCCCTGTGCCTCCTGGAGCAAACACCCCACCCCCTCAACCCTACACACACACACACACACACACACACACACACACACACACACACAACCACACACACACACACACACACTCACCCCAGGCCCCACCTCCGCCCCCACTGCACACACACCACTGTCTGACCTCAGCTTCCTCACAGCCACCAGCCCTCATCCCACACCTTCCCCTGAGCGGCACCTGATGGCCTACAGCACAGCCCGGACCCCTGACACCTGGAAGATTTCTCCATATACCTTGAGATCAACAATGTGGACAGGACCTCCCTCTGTGCTATCCGCATGGCCTGAGGCCCTGCATGCTACCTCACACCAGAGCCTCAGTTGTTTTTGAAAGACAAGAAGTAGCTCAGAACTGGCTCAAACACCCCTTCCTCCAAGAAGCTCGCAGTGGCTTCTCCTCAGCCTGCACTAAAGACCCTGTCTCTGTAGGGGAGTTCAGGTATGACAGAGTAACACTCCATCTGGGAAAAAGAAAGAACAAGCCAGACTAGCTTCACTGTGGAACAATAGACCTCAGAGATAGGGAGCACCCCCATCACCAGGGGTGTACAAGCAGAGACTGAGCCAGCCATCTGCTGGGGATGTCTGGGGCAAATCTAGGCAATGAGCATTGGGGTGGAGTCAGATGATGCAAAGCCCCTCCCTATCTAGGACCTTCTAAATACAACTCCAATCCCTCCTTAGTGACAGAAGCCAGACAAGGTGCAGGTTTCTAGAACAGCAGCTCAGGCAAGGCAAGTGTGTTGCTTACATACACACGCACGCACACACACACACACCATACACACACATACACACTAAACACACACATACATACAAGCATTATATGCACACATGCATACATACAATCACATATATACATGTACATCACATGTACATATAGCATACATTTATATCATACACATACATGCATACAGTCACACACACGCATCATACACATATATATCATACACACATGCGTCATACATATACACGGTCACATACATACGCATATATCACACACACATTAAACACATAGATTGCACACATGCATCATACACATATATACACACACATACATCATACACATGCATGCATACAGTCACATATATACACACATCACACATATATCACATACACATGCATCATACACAAACACACATCTATCATACACACATACATATATGGTGCATACATACAGTCACACACAGTTACACACAGAGTGACACACACACTGAGCCCTGAGGGCATACTGAACTATGTAAAGCAGATCCTATATGTGAGAGTGAGAGTGGCAGGTAAGTTGGGGGCAGACCCAGGAAGAGCATTTCAGTGTCCCACTTCCTTTCTTGCAGTTCTTGGACTGGGAAGGGACCAAGAGCAAGAACTGTCCACCTAAGACTTTGAACAGAACGTTTGTTTTAGTTTGCCAGCCCTGCCCAAACAAAACACAGATGTTCTCTAACTTAGGATGAGTTGATTTCAGATCTGACTTCATGAAGACACAAAAGCAAAGCACATGATAGCCATGCCTGGAGACTTGCCTCTGAGTCTAAGGTGGGCTAGAGCCATCAGACGTGGTACACTGTTGACACTGAGCAGGGCAGTACCCACTTGACCCCAGGACCAGGAGGGGAGGGGACAGTCTGCCCCAGCCCTGTCTCATTGCCTCTATGGAGTTGCTAGCTCTAGAAGGTACTTCTCTCACCACTGTGACAAAGCAGCTGACAGAAGCAGCTTAAGAGAGAAGGGTGTTCTTGGGCTCACAGTTTCAGAGGGGTTTCAGTTTGACCTGGCCAGGAAGGTCTGGCAGCAAGAACATGTAACAGGAGGCAGGGAGTGAGTCTAAAGCCAGGGCTAGGCTGTAACCCTCAAGGACCTTCCCCTGGCAGCCATCTACACCTCCTGAAAGTTCATGACTTGCCAGCACAGCCTCACCAGCTGGGAACCAGGTGCTCAAGTGTGTGAGCCTAGGAGAGTTTGCATTCCTACCAGGACCCTGGTGATTGGTGCCATCCCCTGGTGTAGGCACATGCCCTGCATCTTCTGCCTTCACCATCATGTGAACCCCTTCGTGTGTACATCTCTGTACCCTGATCTCCCTCTCCATGAGGATACTAGTGATGACCTCACTTCACCTCGAGCAACCCAAAGATACTTTCTACCAGGAAGGTCCTTGTCTTAGTTGGGGCTTTATTGCTGTGAAGAGACACCATGACCACAGTGACTCTGTTTTGGGGGGGGGTTCGAGACAGGGTTTCTCTGTGGCTTTGGAGGCTGTCCTGGAACTCACTCTGTAGACCAGGCTGTCCTGGAACTCACTCTGTAGACCAGGCTGTCCTGGAACTCACAGAGCCTGCCTCTACCTCCCAAGTTCTGGGATTAAAAGTGTGTGCCACCACTGCCCAGCGACCACAGAAACTCTTATAAATGAAAATATTTCATTGGGGTGGCTCAGTTACAGTTTCAGAGGTTCAGTCCCTTCTCATCATAGAGGGGAGCATGGTGGCTTGCAGACAGACATGGTGCCGGAGGAGTAGTTGAGAGTCCTCCATCTTGCAGGCCACAGGAAGTCAACTGAGACACTGGGTGATATCCTGAGCATAGGAAACTTCAAAGCCCACCCCCGCAGTGACACACTTCCTCCAACAAGGCCATACCCACTCCAACAAAGCCACAGCTCCTGATAATGCCACTCCCTATGGAATTATAGGAGCCAGTTACATTCAAACTATCACAGTATTGTCACAGAGCAGTAGCTCAGAGGGTCCTGGAAGGTGTAGCTCAGACTCTTTCCAGTGGATTGGGGGCGGGGTGAGCTCTCGGTTCCACTATGTACAAAAAGAGTTGGATGTCGGGCTTGCCTGACAGGACCAAGATTCTGGCATGCTCTGGGTCTCACTGTGACATGTCCTCTCACACAAAGATGCTTTGCAGCAGATGCCCCTAACTTTGTCGCTGTCTGTCACTGCCTTGGGTCAGTTACTCATTCAGGTCATCTGCCTCACATATGAAAACTGGTATTGGCTTCCAGCCATGTTCCTCATCCTAACCACTCTAAGAGGGGAGGCTGCTGAGACGGGTGGGCCCTTATCTCCTGATTGACCGACCAGATCGCCCCAGACGTCAGTGTCATTTCAGGCAGCAAAGGCCAGGTGCTTTGTCCTCTCGGTCCTGTTTAGAATGAAGAAGTGCCGTTTGCATTTATTCTAAATCAAGGTAAATAAAGTGACTTTGAATGCACAAGACTCTCCCACCAAACATTGAAAACTGCACAAAGGAACTGATCATAGAACTTGTAGATAAAGCCTGTGCAAGTTTAAATGTGGTCAGTCCACCACTCTGCACTCTTGCCTGAGGCCAAACTTAAGGGGTGGTTTTTTTAGGGTCTTTCCAATGACTTCTATCCATGTCAGAAGCCATCGGTTTCATCTCAGGATATATATCGTGGTCAATAGGTAGTGGCTGCTGGGACTCTGAGGACTGAGAATTCTAAGACCCTCCCAGATTTAATCAGAGGAGATTGTGATCAATTGGTAATGCCTGTCACAGGCACAGGCAAGAGGCCATAGGCACTATCAGCTTCTGGTTAGTTACCTAGGGATAAGCCTGGACTCCTTGAAAACAAGGAGAGCCTACCCAAGTGCCTACCCAAGCCTACCCTCCAGCATAGCTCTTACCCTTTGGTACAGGTCCCGGAAGCCATTCGCAAGTGCCAGCGGGCAGGAATCACAGTCCGAATGGTCACTGGTGACAATATCAACACAGCCCGGGCCATCGCCATCAAGTGTGGCATTATCCACCCTGGGGAGGACTTCCTGTGCCTGGAAGGCAAAGAATTCAACCGGAGGATCCGCAATGAGAAGGGGGAGGTACGCGCACGCGGCCACTGCAAAGGCTCTGCAGCGGGCCAAACTCAAGAGGGGGCCGGGAGGCGTGGGCACTGCATGCTTGAACAGAAGCCAGCTAGTGTGCCCCGAAGAGCCCAGTGACTGCATGGGGCTCAATTTCTCTCTCTGACCCCACGACATACCACACCCCTCTCCAGATTGAGCAGGAGCGGATTGACAAGATCTGGCCAAAGCTGCGGGTGCTGGCTCGCTCCTCTCCCACGGATAAGCACACGCTGGTTAAAGGTAAGACTGGGTGACACCAGTGATTCTGAACCCAGAACCAGCCCGGCATGAGCCAAGGCCAATTTGCCAGGCTTTGCAGCTTCCCACATAAGGGAAATGGGCACACCAAGGATTCTCCTCATATGAGGACCTTCTGACTTGTTCCTTCAGCCATGGGAGGCCTGCAGAAGGTCCCCTGGGGGAAGCAGCCATAGGGAGACCCTCCAATTTCCTCTAGGTAGCAGTGGGTCTGGGCCTGGGGTCTTAGACCACCTGGCAGGAGGGCTGACTGAGTTAGAGATGTTCTAGTCCATGTGCATAAAGCCTTTCTTATGCAGACCTCCAGGGACCTTCATAGACTCAGCTCTCTCATGCCTTTACTGTTTATCATCTGAAAGGCAGCCCACCTTCCTCCTCAGTCAGCCCCAGACCCTTAGGAAGTTTCCAACCAACCCTTGTGAACGGACCCAAAGGATAAGAAGCGTTGGAAATAGCAGAAGGCTAGAATCTTCCTGCGCATCATGACCGCTCACAGAGCCTTAGCAACACCAACCAGTGTTCCTATAGTCACAGCCCTGGTTCACATCCTAGGACTCCTACTACTCTCTCTGAGGCCTTGTCAAATCCATCCACTCTGGGTCTCAGTTTCTCCATCTGTATAATGTCCAGAAGGTAGGGGTCTTACTTCTGCCTGGGATCACCCGTAGGCACTTTAGATTCATGTATATTAAAGATGGAAGCAGGCGTGGGCTGTGGATAGAAGCATGGAACCCCAGGACTACAGACCCTGCAGCAGATGGCCCTGCTCACCCTTGCTCCTCACTGACTCATCAGTTCACTCCCTGACTCTGTCACTGAGCATTTATGGAGGAAGTACTGTGTGCTCTAGCTGGTCCTTCTCTGTTGATAGCACAGGTTCCGCAGGACAGGTTCCACGGGACAGGCACCAAGCCATATCCCTGCACAGGGGAAGAGGCTCCAGCCACTGGACTCTTGCTCTGGAGAGGATGCGAAGCCCAGGTGTGGGGGTGTCGGCAGGGAGAAGCTCTGTATTTCAGACAGCACAGGGAACTACACTGTGCAGAGCCCCTGGTGTCATCAGAGAGAGAACAAGAGGAGACTAAGGGAGACTGACCTTGGCCATGATGGACATGACTGTCACTCAAGTGGGGAGGATACATAGAAAGGCCAAGAAAGGAGTAATGATGTCTAAGAAGCTCATCCTGTGGGAGGAGAGTGACCTGAAGGCAGAGGGGTCACTGGGGTCTTCCAAAGGCAACAGCTGCAGTATGATGGGTAGAACAGCGCAGTGTTTGTGGGTAGATGAATCTGAGTAGGTTGTGTGTGGATCTGTTGCGGAGAGAAACAGCAGGGAATCCCATAGGGCACTCCTGCACAGGCCCTGCTACAGGCCCACACCCCTTACCTGGGTGTCAGGCACAACAGACCTGGTGAGATGCTAACATTTAATAGAAGACTTCTCAGACAGGGCCTCTGATACCCTAGTAGTACCATCTGCAACAGACAGCCATTGAGTCAGGACAATGTGAGCCTCCGCTAGAGCCCTATGGGGTGATGGGCATCGACACCCCAGAAGAGGAAGAACCCAGGGCACCCACCTGAGTATTGGTAGAAATAAGACCATTAGATCTGGGTGATGGTGGCACATGCCTTTAATCCCAGCACTCAGAAGGCAGAGACAGGAAGATGTCTGAGTTTGAGGCCAGCCTGATCTACATAGTGAGTTCCAGGTCAGCCAGGGCCACACAGAGAAACCCTGTCTCAAAAATTCAGAAAAAAAGAAAACCATTAGAGACCAGAGAGACAGGTGGAGGAGAAGGATGCCCAGGGATGAGAGGTACATAGGAAGATGGGAGGAGAGCCTACAGAGAAGAGCGTGGGCCACTGTGGGACCAGCTGCTGAGACACCAGGAGAGACATGATGGAGATGTGACCACAGGGAGGCCACCAGGGAACCATGCAGTGTAGGGCCTGGTGAGTTCCTTGCCTTAGAAGAGCCCATTGCTGGCCAAGGACCCAGGAGAGTCAAAGATTGACCTGCCAACTTCAGGGACAGTAGTCCAAACAGGCTGAGCCTGAGTGGGATTTGGACTGGCTACCAGCCAGTGGGAATAGCCAAGCTAACTCTCAAGGAACCAGGCATGGAGGCTGGGATTTGTGTGGGATTGAGGGAATGGTGTCCCAAACCTGGGAACCTGTCTCCTGCTCCACAGGCAGCTGCTGTTTGCCTGGCACAGACAAGGAGACCAGCAGCCACAGTGATGACATGAGGGGCTGTGTTCAATCTGGTTCTCACCAATTATTTCATTGAAGATGAGTGCACAGAGTGAGGTCAAAGCCAGTGGGTCAGGATCACCAGCAAATAGTCCCCATGTGTGGCTGGAATTCCCAGGTAGAAGGTTCTGGAAAAGCAGATGTGGGAGTCCATGAAGGTGCACAGAACACTTGGGTCTGGATAGAATAGCAAGAGGACTGTGTCTCTAGGTAGGACTGCCAAGGACTATGAGAGTAAAGACAGTGTTGGAGGCTGAGCATCTCCAAGCCAACCTGGGCTAATGAGGAGCCTGGCACCTCTGGAAATGCTGGGAGAAATGGTGATGGGAGGGGCTAGCTTGACAGACAGGACAGAGGGCCATGCTGAGTCTCAGGGCTGGCTCTGGGGCCTGAGCACACACTCTTACCCCCTAGGCATCATCGACAGCACGCACACTGAGCAGCGGCAGGTGGTGGCTGTGACAGGGGACGGGACCAATGATGGACCTGCTCTCAAGAAGGCAGATGTGGGCTTCGCAATGGTAAGAGTGGCTGGAAGAGGGCTTCCGGTCTGATTGTGTCTCAAAGGCGAGGATGGCAGGGCCTGGACCATACAGCTTCAAACAGGCTTGTGGGACTCCCTGCACACATAACTCTCACCCTTGCCATCCATCCTAGCCTCAGAGGTCTTCCTAAAGGGTGCAGGCAGTGCCCTGCTGCATACTTCGAGGTTAAGGAGGAATGAGGCAAGGTCAGGCTTCCTGGGGTGGCCTCAGAGAGGTGTCTGTGTGCACAGATGCACACCTGTATATGTGTACATGTTTGCATGCACATGTATGCATTTATACATGTGTGTTTTGTGTGGTCTGAGTGAGCTGATTCCCTTGGGTCAGGGGTAAGGGGCACAGGGCTAAGGTTGTGTAGAGGTAAGAATAGCCATATAGGGCCACTCACGTCCCCGGCTGCCCCACCAGGCTCCTGTCCCTGTCCCCACAGGGCATCGCGGGCACAGATGTGGCCAAGGAGGCCTCAGACATCATCCTGACAGATGACAACTTCAGCAGTATCGTCAAGGCAGTGATGTGGGGCCGTAATGTCTATGACAGCATATCCAAATTCCTGCAGTTTCAGCTGACTGTCAACGTGGTGGCTGTGATCGTGGCCTTCACAGGTGCCTGCATTACACAGGTGGGTGCTGGGAAAATCTTCCCCAAGGCTAGGAAAGGGCGGCCTCCAGCCTCCAGGACATCCTAGGATGCTGGGCTCACAACACTGGGGATGGACACACATGTCATGGTGTGTCATCATAGTCCTCCAAGCAGCCACCAGCCTGTGCAGTTTAGAAATGAGCCATGGAGAGGTAGTGTGACTCAGGTGGTCCCAGAAATGAGGGGTGCAAGGCCTCACATCCATCTCACCACCTGCACCAGCCTGACCCTTGCTCCAGAGGCTGGCGAAGCTGGGGTAGAGGCAGTGCAGGCCCAAGGGACTATTCGCCAGCTGAAGACCCAGACCCAGCCAGGTTCTGTGGGGAGAGGACTAGGAGAGGTGGAGTTAGGTAGAGGAGGCAGTGGAGTTTTGTCTGTCTGTCCAGATCACTCAGCCTACTCACTGAGGCAGGGGAAGCCAGGTGGAGTGAGTACCATTTCACAGAGGCAGAAACTGACTCAGGAGAAAATGGCTGGGCATTCAGCCTGGCTCCTGGTATCTCCTGATATTATAGCCAGACTGCACCTCCCAGGAGCTGGCTTTCTGGTATGTGGAAGGAAAGTGACTTCACTTCTAAGGGATTCTCAGAGAGCTGCTGGCTCCCAGTCACCACCTGGGCACACAAGCCCCTGCCCATAGGGGAACCCAGAGTCCAATGTGCAGCCATCCCCAAGGGCCACATGGCCCATAAGATACTGCTCCACTCTGTTGTGACCTCCACCATGGTGGTGCCTGTGGTAGCTGCAGTATTGACCAAGTGTCACCCAAACCTGAGAGTTGGGTTGAGGATTCCCTTTCTGCTCAATGGGCAACCTCTCCTGGTCTGTGGATGAGAAGCTCCCTCTAGTGGTGGCTTATAGACATTACTATGACAGCTTCCTGGAGACTGGATTGATGTCAGTAAGAAAACAGGTTCAAAGACAAGGATCAGTTGGCCCAGCATCCCTGACTGAGCAGGGCCATGCAGGCTTTGGTGGGAAAATTGCATACCTGACCCTAAGGTTCTTGGATCAGATAATTTAGAAGGGCAGCAGAAAGCCCAGAACCACAGCCCTACTTGGCAGGGGCAGGGTGGCCGGAGCAGCCAGGGAAACACAGAGAAGGTGGGCAGACAAGAAGCTGCTATGCTTTCAGAACGGAAGGGTTTCCTGAAGGGGTGTCATGGACCACAAGACAGTCAAGGATAGAGCCAATGGCAAGGGACAGTGGGCTCTGAATAGAAGGAGGCCATGTGTGGGAGAGATTTGTCCCGGACACCAGGTGTCAGGTGTGTATGGGACAGGAAAGGGGCCCCAGGAGAACAGATGTAAAAGGAAGAGAGCAGGACCTTAAACAAGAAAAGAATGACTAGGGGGCTGCTGCCAAGGGGGGCTGGAGGAGGGAGTCCCTCAGTGTGCCATAAAAGTCACAGATAGGGCTGGAGAGATGGCTCAGCGGTTAAGAGCACTGGCTGCTCTTCCAGAGAACCAGGGTTCAATTCCCAGAACCCACATGGCAGCTCACACCTGTCTGTAACTCCAGTTGTAGGGGATCTGATGCCGTCACACAGACATGCGTGCAGGCAAAGCAGCAGCGTGCATAAAAATAAAGAAAGAAAATATATTTTAAAGTCCCGGCTGACCTTAGGGAAGGCATGGGGTGAGGGTGAGGCCAGCTCTGGCTGCTGTGGGCAAGCCCTGTGGCTGTGAGGAGTGAGGGATAAGGGACCTGCTCCTTCAGTCAGTGTACACCGAGCGTGTCCTATCCAGCCTGGGCCCAGCAGAGTGAACCCAACAGCGTTCACACCAGCATGGCTGTGGCGATCACCTCTGTGCTAGCTCCCTGCTTTTCTTACTTGACAGACTTCCTATCATGATAGTGCATTCCTTTTGGAGTCATAGTTACAAAAACCTACACCATACAAGACGGTGAAAAGTAAGGTACGATTGGCAGCGGAGGTCAAGAACAGTGTCTCCAGGACAGGAGAGACATCAGCCCCTTGGGTCAAAGGGCAGAGGCAGTGGGGAGTCAAGAGTGTGCGTGTTGGCTTCAGACAGGAGGGGAGTAGGCGAGGGTGTGGTTGAGTCCATCAGAAGTCAGGGCGCTATGGCCACTGAGCCTGTGGGCCCAGGACTAAAGTGGGCAGTAAGTACTGTTCTCCGCAGAAGCTTCAAGAACCCGCCACACGCATGCTGAGAGCACCTCAGCCGGGGGCCACCTGCGGCCTGTGGTGGGAGCCGCTGAGACCCTGCAGTAGGCCCACGCTGTGCTCTGGCTCTCTGTGTGACAGCCTTCTCCCCGCCCCTGCCGTAGGACTCCCCTCTCAAGGCCGTGCAGATGCTTTGGGTGAACCTCATCATGGACACATTTGCCTCCCTGGCACTGGCCACAGAGCCACCCACCGAGACGCTGCTGCTGAGGAAACCTTATGGCCGCAACAAGCCCCTTATCTCACGGACCATGATGAAGAACATCCTGGGCCACGCCGTTTACCAGCTCACTCTCATCTTCACCCTGCTCTTTGTGGGTGAGCACCCCAGCACCCACCTCCCCGTGGCCAGGTCACCAGCTCCTGGACACGCCATGGCCCACAGCTGACACATGCCACCCTGTCTTGCTCATGGGGAAACTGAGGCATAAGAGGAAAATGTAGACGCAGCACGTGGGGAAGAGTCACGCCCTGTCCCAGGCTGGCTGACCTCGAGGCCTGCTGTAGTACTAAGCACACGCCAGGCAAGGCAGCAGCATCCAGGACTGATGAAACCCTGAGGGCCAAGGCCCTGGGCCAAGCAATCTGCCCCTTCCCTGACCCCTTCTAGCAACTTCTTCTTGCCCCCAGGATGTCTTGATGGAGACGTTCCTCCACAGGGACACAACCTACTGGGCTGTCAGCTCCTGCCACAGCTCCTCAGCCACTCAGAGAGCCAGGGTGCCTTAGTCAGCTTCCTTCATTAAAATAAAGTCGCTGAGATAATCTGAACTCTCAGTCTAGGTCATGTTCGGATGACTCCATTGTTTTGGGCCAGTGACAGGACAGGGGCACACAGTGAAGAAAAATTCCTCACCTCACGTAGGAAGCAGACAGCTATGGGCCCAGGCTCCTAACGACCTGAACCTCCCATCCCTCTTCACCTCACAGGAGTTCCACCACCTCCCTCAGGGTTAGGAATGTGGTAGAACCTTTACTCAGTATCCCTTGGCTCCATCCTAAGCACCACAAACAGGGTGTGGCGGTGCCTGCCTGTAATTCCAGCACTCGGGAAGCAGAGTGAGGAGGATCAGAGGTTTAAGGTCATCCTTGACTACACAGGGCAGCTTGGGCTCCGTGAGACTCTGTTCCACTACCTCCCCACAGCACCAGAGTCTGGGCACTAGGTCTGAAATACATGGGTCACCCAGCCACATTTGCTTACTCGATAGTGCCTTACCTCGAGGATTTATGTCTTTCCGGTACTGTTTGAAGATATGTCACTTTGTAATGCAGGTGGCATGCCACTTTTCTCAGATGTCCACAGAAAAGGTGACAGGCCCCAAGTCATTTATCCTCTAGAGCATCGTTCTTAACCCCCCTAATGCTCCAACTCTTTAATACAGTCCCTAGTGTTGTGGAGGCCCCCCAACCACAGAATTATTTTCAGTTCTAGTGCATAGCTGTCATTTTGATGTTACGAATTGTAATATAAATATCCTAATATTCAGGACAGCTGATATCTGACCCTGAAAGGGTCGTTTTGATTCCCCCCCCCCCAAGGAGTCATGGCCCTCAGGTTGAGAACCACTGATCTCGAGAAAGGCTTCCCTCACTGAGCAGGCGCCACGGGCCACACCCTGCCCATTCCCTGCCTCAGCCTGGGCCCACCCTCTGATTGGCAGGTGAGAAGATGTTCCAGATTGACAGTGGGAGGAACGCACCCCTGCACTCCCCACCCTCAGAGCACTACACCATCATCTTCAACACCTTCGTCATGATGCAGCTGTTCAACGAAATCAATGCCCGCAAGATCCACGGCGAGCGCAACGTCTTTGATGGAATCTTCCGGAACCCTATCTTCTGCACCATCGTTCTGGGCACGTTTGCCATCCAGGTACCCAGCCCCCACCTAACCTGGGCTGGGCAAGGCGGTGGCTCCCCAGCCCTCCGTGCCATCTCCGTGTCTGTCCTTCTGATCTCTGACCTGCAGATAGTGATCGTGCAGTTTGGCGGGAAACCCTTCAGCTGCTCCCCACTCCAGCTGGACCAGTGGATGTGGTGCATCTTCATCGGCCTGGGAGAGCTCGTCTGGGGCCAGGTCGGTGTGGGGGGTGGGAACAGAAGGGGCCTTGAAGCGAGGGAAGAGGAAGAGCGACAGGATTGGTCCTGGCTGGCTGTGCCATGTCCGTTCAAGGGAAAGCCATCCCCAACACTGGCCATCATAGCAATGGAGTTGGTCCAAGGCTGCAAATGCAGGCCATGTGGGTACCAGCACTCTGATATTGCCTTTTTTATCTTTATCTCACTGCTGCTGGTATTTTCTTTTTTAAATTGCAGCAGTCTGCTTTAATTTAAATTTACGTCCAAAGGTGATTCTGTATTACTAGCATCATCTGCCATAGGTAGAAGTTTATGAAAAACTTAATATAAGGGGCATGAAGCTAAGGCACCAAGGCTGCCAAGATGCTTGGGCCTGCCACAGCTCAGAACCTGAAACCAACATGCTAAAAAGGGGGGTCATCCAGTAGTATCCTAAGGGTAGTGACCTGATGGCACCAAGCAGAAACATGTCCTGCCATGTACAGTGTGGCTTAGGGTGGGCCTGTGACTATCTGAGCATCTCCTAAGTTGAAGATGCTCTCTGATGGTCACTCCATCTCTGACTCTAGAGCATTCTTCTACCTGGTTCATTCTCTATGCCTGCCCAAGTTCTAGGCATACATGTACATACAAGCATACACACCACACACGCACCATCACACTGCTGATAGCTTGAAATCTCAGTCTCCTGACCAAGGACACTACATGGGAGAAGTGTCTTTGTCCATAAACTAAGCTAAAAGGACTTTATTCCCAAGATGCCCAGACATCCAGGCAGTGGGCTCATCATAGGCCTAAGACGATTTTCTTCTTTAAGTTATCCCCAGGCTAGAGTAAGAAACTACAGCGGTGACCCGGGTATAGTAGTACACATTTGTAATCCTAGCTCTCAGGAGGTTAAGGCAGGAAGATTGCATATTTGAAGGCGGTGTAGGCTACATATCCAGACCCTGTCACAAAAAAATAAGAATAAAAGCGAGAGGAGGTGGTGATGCAGTGTAACTTGTATTATGGTCCACCATGTACTCCTGGGGTATTCCGAGTCACAGTGGCCAGTTCCTCAAGGCCAAGTTGTTCCGTTCTGTCCTTTGTGTCCAATAAGTGGAATGAAAAGGCCATTAGTAAGAAACAATTAGCAGTTGAATTAGAATGGGTGGCAGGTTAAAGAGGGGATTATCCTGTGGCTAGGAAACAGATAAGCAGAAAAGAAGGAAATGGGACTAAGGGACCGGGAAGAGCGTCCTCAGTCCTGACCTTGGCTGGGTACATCCCTTGCAGGTCATTGCCACCATCCCTACCAGCAGGCTCAAGTTCCTGAAGGAGGCAGGGCGGCTCACGCAGAAGGAGGAGATTCCTGAGGAGGAGTTAAATGAAGACGTGGAGGAGATAGACCATGCAGAGCGGGAGCTTCGCCGTGGACAGATCCTGTGGTTCCGGGGCCTGAATCGGATCCAGACACAGGTGCGGGGAACTCCTAGGGCTGGGCCAGACTTGAGGGTGTAACCAGAGTGTTCCATTGCACCCTCACACTCTGATGTGAGGGAGGGTGGCCATAGGAGTCGTGTCCATCATGCGGCCTAAGAAGAGCCCTCACTATCCCTCCAGCCATGAGAACACACACACACACACACACACACACACACACCACTTCTGCTACACAAGCAGAGTGCAACCTCAGGAAGACCCTTACCTTCTCAGAATAGCCAGGGGTTGACATGACTCTCCCCCACCATGGCTTTCTAGAGAAAGCCCCTGAGAGAATGGGGGTGGCTATAAGGACTGAGGTGAGTAAGCATTCTATTGTGGCTGGGTATCTACTAGGAGGGGCAAACAATACAGAGGGTAACTGTCAGCTGGGGAGCTACAGTCACCTTTACAGATATGCACATACACTCTGCCTCTGTGAGGATCCCCAAGTACTGCCCTTGACTCCACCTAGATGTGGAACAAAGGTTAAAATTCCCATATACAGAGGTACACATGTAAGCCAAGCTTCCATATAAGAACATATGAACACTGCGCAGTCAGAAGCAGACCTCTGCCTCAGAACAAAAGCTATGTAGCCACTGTGTGCTACATAATGGTGCAAGAAAGCCCCACACATGCACATTCCATGTTCTCCCAAAGGCCCCATGCCTGGGGCAAGTGTAGTTTATGACTGTGCTGTAGAAACCAAGAAAGAGGTCTCTTGCCCAGGACGACATCATCCTCAGATCCCTCACCTAAGCAATCTGGGCAAGCGATACGTGAATCAATCCAATCCCTTCATTTCCATGGATGACAGCAAACAGCTCTACCAGGGCTCCTTACACCACACAGGGAATAATTTGACTCATACAGACCCTGCACTGCCCACTTGGCATTTAGGGGAGTGAGTTTTAGACTCACAGCTGCCTCACACAGGCCTGGGCTCTCCTGCTGTGACCATGACCCTAGCAGCCACTATTTCCTGGGAGGGATGCGGTAGGTGGCACTACCTCACAGGCAAGAGGAAGAGGGGACCATAGTCCCCTGACGATTATAGTCCTGAGTGGGTGTGAGTAACTCTGAGTCTGCCTTCCCTGAACTCTGTTGTGGGCCTGTTACTGTGCCATTTATACCTCTGCCAGCTGGATGGACTTGCCTTTCGTTAAGAACAAGAAACAAGACTTGCCCAAGGTCACCCAGCTAGTAATGAGGAGAACTAGACCTTGGTCCATGGCCTGTACACCCCAAGGTCTCAGTACATCCCTCGGGGTGTATGCCTGAAGCCACCCTTCCATTCTGACACCACCTCCACCCCACTGAGCCACTATTGAGGGAAGAAGGTCACACCCCGTTCCCCCTACCTCCCACCCCTGCTTGGGACCCCCAGGGCCTACAGATGGGCCCAGAGCTGAGCAGACATCTTTCCGAGCCTTGGAGTGTGTCTGGTATTTTCGTTTTAAGTGATGTCGTCCTTGTCGCCGTGGCTGCGGCTGTTGTGTGATGTTGCGCCCGCCAGTTGTGTAGCTGTGGTGTTCGTTTCTTCTCGCAACTTGTCTCGTTCTCTCCTCCGTTGCAGATTGAAGTAGTCAATACTTTCAAGAGCGGGGCCTCCTTCCAGGGGGCCCTGCGGAGACAGTCCTCCGTCACCAGCCAGAGCCAGGACGTAGCCAGTCTCTCTAGCCCTAGTCGCGTGTCGTTATCCAATGCTCTTTCCTCTCCGACCAGCCTTCCTCCTGCTGCAGCTGGGCGTGAGTGTGACTCCTTACCGCCTCCGCTGGCACCACCAACGCCAGCTCCTGGGCGGGCAGGCGGGCAGGGGCCGGGATTCCAGAGGACATGGGGGGACAGGGGTCACTATGAGGCCCAGGGGCTGAAGGGCCACAGCCACTGAAGAGTGTCATTGGTCAAGAGTTCTCAGGCAGTTGTGGGGTTAGCCGGGTGTCAAGGATTGTAACGGGCAGTGGGTCATTAAGCAGTCAAGAGGTCTATCAAAGGATCACACCATAGTCAAGAAGGTTCTAGAATCCAAAGGGTCCCAAGCCCTCAGTACCTGAGGCCAGAAGGTACCAGTCACCAAGAGAGGCACAGATCAACCCCAACTCTAGTGTCTAACCTTGTCAGGAAAAGTTTGGCCCACAAGAGAAGCAGTCAGAGTTCTCTGAAGTCTTGCAGTCAATCAAAAGGTTAATGTGGGTCACCGTATAGAAGCCTCTCAGGGGTCACAGTCACAGTGGGGGCTCAACACAAGAGGGACCATGAGCCAAGCAATCACTGCAGGTCAGATGTCACAAAAAGGAATGACAGACAACCAGGGAAACCACAGCACTTCAGGATCACAGTGTCCCTCCCTTGTACACTGAGCACACCAGCTGCCTTCCTAACCCTGCCCCCACAGAGGGTGGAGCATGCTGAAGTCCTGACCCCTTCCTGGAAGAGTCAAGGCTCCTGTTGCATCCAGATGATCTCAAGTAGAAAATGGTGGGCACACACATCTTAGCAGGGTGCCAGCTAGTCCCAAAAGAGCTGGTCTCACCCTTGTATCCTTTTCTTCTTATCTGAGAGGTAGCTTGGGACTCTGACCTCCTCTTCATCTTCCTTCTCCCAAGCACATCTGCCCATACCATCACCTCTGACCCAGTCTTCTCATCTCTGGCTCTGTCTAGATCTTTGCTGGACCTCTCCAGGAGCCTCCATTCAGACCTTCCCAAAGTACATGGAACCTCAGTTCTGAGCTTTTAACACCAGCCAGCATTCAGATTCTTTGATGAGAAACAGACTCCATCCTTTGAAACATTATGAAGGGCCCTGCCCCTATCCCAACCCAGAACACCCAGCATCACGCCTTCCTGCCCCTGAGCAGGGAGGACCTGTGTACAGGTCTAGGGTTCTTCCAATGGATCGCTCCAGCAGGAGGCACAGATCACTAGGAGCCCATTGATAGACCATCCCATGGGTGCTGCCCTCCCTGATGTACAGGATGACAAGAGACTGAATAGTCTTCTCCTAGTGGCACAAAATGAGCCCAGATGAGGCAGAGTTCCCTGTGAGCAGATGGTGTCTAAATCACTGAGAAATCATGGCCAGGCTTCCTGTTCAGAGCAGACAGCCTTCCTCGCCTTTGTGAGTGATCCATGCTCAGCCGGCCTTTCCCTCCTCCCCGTTCCATCAATCCAACTCTGGTCTTGCTTGGCACCTCCCATCTTGAAGTGTAGTCACCCTGTTGGTACTACTGTGTTGCCCTGAGTTCTGACTGTTAGGACTCCAGTTCCAGGGCACAAGCTCAATTCCTTCCCTCCCTCCCTCTCTCTCTCTCTCTCTCCCCATCTTCCTCTCCCTCCCCTCCTCTCCCTTTGAGATAGAGTTTCACTGTGTAGCCCTATCTGTCTTGGAACTCACTCTGTAGGCCAGGATGGCCTCAAATTCACAAAGATCCACCTGCCTCTGCCTCCTGAGTGCTGGGGTTAAATGGGCGCCACCAACTGCTAGGCCAACAAGCTCAATTCTTTATTCATCCTGGTTTACCTCTTTCCTTAAGCATAGTATTTTACCCTTGCCACGACCAAGCTCCTGTGGCATTCCCAAGTACAATGCATCCTTGAAAGTTATCCTTGAGTCAGCCCCTTAGCTTAGTACTGACATTCTAGAACAAAAAGCTGTCCTTGCCTCAGCAGCTCTCTTACCTGTCCATTATAAGCCATCAAGGAGGCTGTTCCTGACACACTTCTGCAGACAGGCCTGTGTGCCCCCATCCTCTTGCTTCCAAACAGACCAATCCCTTCTTCATTCCATGTGACCCTAACTTTGAAGCAGCCATTGGAAGAAAGCCTAACTGGAGTTATACCAAAACTCATCTACTTTCCTGGCCCATGATCCTTTATTCCCTCTCAGGGCTAAGAGGGAGGCCAGGAACAAATTCATCTTCCTTACCCAGGCTCCACTCTGTTACCTTCCCAGCCTCCTTAACAGTCTCCCACTTGTTCCCTCTGCTCTAAAATCCAGTTTGTAATTCACAGTCTCGTTGGGCCCTTCAGTGGGTGTGAGGTCTCAAAACAACCTGACCATCCCTTTGTGGGTTGCACTGGCTCCTAGGAGGACTGCCATTGGTTTAAAGATGCATTTGGATCACTAAGATCACAATTGGGATGTCAACTAGACATTCCCTCATCCTCTGCTTGGGTAGCTTCTGTAACATGACCTCTTCTGCTCTCCTGGAACTCTGGGGACCCTCTAGATGCTACACAAAGTCCCTTTGGAGGTCAGAATGCTTTCTTCCCATAGAAGGTATGACAGTCAGACAGAAAGCAGAAGTGTGGGGGGAACTGGGCCACCATATTTTTCAGGATCCCCCCAGCAGAGCACTGGCCACATACCTGCTGAAGCAAATGTCTGGAGTCTGTGTGCCCCAGAGGGAGACAAATCTCTTTCCTTCATGCCATTAAGAGTTGATCACAAAGGGCTAGGATGGGGAAGCTCCTATTGGGGGACTCACTGCGCTCCCCTCCACAGCACAGTTGTTAGATGGCCCCAAGCAGACACTGCACATGGGGAGACATGGTCAGTTGGGATGAGACCAGGGCATTCAAGAGAGAACCCAGGGGAACTACAAGCTTTTCTCATCCTGACTCAAAATTGAATTTGGTCCTCCCACCCCCCAGAAGTTCAAAGCCACACAACTAACGCCATGCACTTGAGCCCTACCCAACAATTCCATTTCCTCTATCTCAAGTACATCTCACCATGAGGAGAGTTTCCCAGGGCAGCCAGCGATCCCACTTGGCCAGGACCATACAGCAAGGGAAACAGCAGGAGCATGCTATGAAGTCACTCATGCTCCGCTCCACACCACTTTCCAAATAGGCTTGACTCGATAGCACAGAGGATGTCTTTAAACCTGGGAACCAGTGCTGGTGTCCACAGCCTTCCAGAGGAGAGGTGTGGAGAACAGGGCAGGGGGTATCCACTGGTGTCCCTCTAGCCCACAGAGACATACAAGCAATGTTTCACTGGTCATCCAGGACAGCACCAGACTCATTCATCCACATCAGCCTCCCCTTCTCCTCCCCCAGGTCCCTCACCCATCTCAAACCAGCTCTGTCCTTAGCAAGTCTGAAGAGGCTCCACTTTGAACACGTCGGCCTCACTATGCCAAGGGCAACACACACACACACACACACACACACACACACACACACACTCACATGCACACAGTCCCAAGTAAGAGCTGCCACTGTGTGACGTTTGTGGTGAGGAGCAAAGCAGACATGGCAAAGAGGAAATCTGGGTTTCTTCTTAGCATTCTGGTAACTGATCTGGTGCAAGCTTGGGTTGGCAAAGAAATGGCTTGCTTCTGGGGGGACCCTAGAGCTCTCCACTGTCTGAATATTCCATGTCTTTGTTTCCTAGAGGGCTAGAGAACCCTGGACACAGAGTTCAGCAAGAGAGAGTGAAATTAAAAGAGGTTGTGAGTCTTTAACCTTGAGCCTGAAATGAATGTGAATCAATCCCAGACTCTTGGCTTCCTTGAAGCCGGGTAAACATTCGAGTATGCGGAGCCCACCTCAGAACAAGGCATCTGCCTTCCCAGAGACCCCGGTGGTCAAGAGCTCCAGGTCCCAGGCTGTTGAAAGCAAACATCCACAATCCCACCCACATTCCCATGAGTCTTCTGTCCTGAAACCCCTCTTCAGAGCAGGCAGGCAGTGGAGATGGAAGAAATTTTTGCTTTTGGTTTTGGTTTTTCTTCCCCTATTTTTTCCCATTTCAGCTGCAGAGAGAACCGAAGTGGAGTCTTGAGATGGCCATGTCGGGGTGTCCCCAAAAGTCTTGTCCCACAGTCCTGTCCAGAGCAGTTCATTCTTTCTGTTGTCTCCATGCCAGGGGGAGGACGGAGGGGCCTCATCTCATTGTGTGTGTCCCTCTACGTTGTCAGTCACATGACAATGCCTGCCACTGTCCCTTAACTCCCTTTATATACTAGGCATTCCAGCCAGCCAGCGTCTTATGGCAAGTCAGCCTCAGAAGGCTTAATACCAGCTAGGTAGATCTGGGGATGGGACATCTGCACTCCCATTTTTCAAATGAGGAAACCAGCAGCTGGGTTTCACCTAGTGTTTGTTTGCCTAGCATGCAGAAGGCCCTGGATTATATCCTTAGTCCCTACAAAAACCAGTGAACAAGTGGAAGTAAACAGAGTCACAAATTCAAGGTCATCCCCTGAGGCCAGCCTGAGTCATATGAGACCTTCCCTTAAAGCAAACAAACAACAAAAAAGAAAACTAGACAAACCAAGGCTATACCTTTTAGTAGTAGTAGTAGTAGCAGTAGTAGTAGTATTTTCAAGGGTGCAATGGCCCACTTATCAGATCATAAAGTGAAAAATCTACAAAATCTGCATAGAGAATCCAGAGACAAAGGTAGCTCAAAGTGTCGCAGAGTACCAGCACTCAGTCTGCCTGGCCCCACAGGCTTCAGCTTGGATTCCAGCAGAGTTCTCTGGGGTCACTAGTGTGTAGGGAGGAGACAGACAGAGTGCTCTTCAGAAGGCAAGCAGAAGTTGTAGCTGGAGAAGGCTGATGTAAAGGAGGAGAGTTGACTGGAGAGAGAGAGAAAAAAGAGTCAGAGAACATAGCCAAGTTGAATTCTCATCACTGCAGTTGACTTAGTTTAGAAGCAGACAGTCATTCCTGGGCTGTGACACAGACTCAGCAGTCAAAGCCATCTAGCAGTTTCTTCTGGGAACAGGGATCTCCCTAACCATGGCCCACAAGGAGCTCCCTGGTTTAGCTGAGCTCTAGTCTGAGATTCCACGGAGCTCCCCACAAATGTCTCTGACGGGTCTCCTGTCCCCATGGCCAAGGTGCATGACCCTGAGTTGTCGGTGGCACCAGGCCATGGTGTGTTTTCTCCTTTTCCCTGAGCCGACACTGGGAAGAGAGCAAGAGGCACCTATATTACAAATCCCCATCATACCCTTGAGACATAAGATGTGTTCCTGTTCCTCTGCACCCCGGAAAACAGTTTAGAACGTGACCAGATAGGTGGCATGGCTCTCTACAGCCAAGGAATGAGGAATGGCCAAGCCAGGACTTCAACCTGGCCCTTCCTAATCCAAATGCAGGCTCTTTGCACTAGCCTTGGAGACAGAGGCCAGGCTCCTCCCATTCATTCTTCAAAGGAGTGAATAAAAGCCTAAGGACCTGAAGTCCCTGGCTTACTCACTGGGGTGCTGTGCCAAACCTCCCTACCCTACCCCACTTCCCAAAACCTGAAGGGGAGCTGGGGGTTGGCTGTCCACTTCTGGCCTGTGTCTTTTGGCTTTGGGTTTTTTTTCTTTTTCTTTTTCTTTTTTTTTTCTTTTTGGTTTTGTGTTTTCAGAACACAAACAAAGCAATAAGCCCCAAACTCCAGGAAACAAGGGAGCCCCTTAACAAGCTGCAATGGCTGGCCAGGGCTTTGAGCCCATACTCGAGTGTTTACCTCCCAAATGCATGAAGGAAAGAGGCGCTGGGCACAAACAACTTTGTTCACATTGTGCAGGCTTCCAAGTATAGCTGTATGTCGGTGTGTGTGCGTGTGCCCTGACCCCTGTGGCATGCTCCCTGCCCCCAGCGTCCTGTGTGCTGCTCCTCTGTGCTTCCTGGCTGCTGCAGCCCTGCACCTCAGAAAGCCTTCCCCGGCTTGGCTTTGCTCTGCTGCCTCGGCTTGATGTCCCCTTCTCTGTGTGGAACCTCGTGTGTCCTCTCATCCCACTCATCCGACTGTCTCTCCTTCCTGTTCCTTCTCTGTGTGACCTGTAGCCTGTTCCATGTGGTTTGGTTTCTTAACTGTGTGTGGTTTTTGAAGATTCACTTTTTTAACGAAATAGACTCTCCTCTTTCCTACTTCCCCCCAACACCCAACCTCCCTGCATGGTCAAACTCTTGCCGTGACATTAACAAGGCTCAGTCTCTCACTAGGTCGGGTGCCCTTCGGAGTGGACCATGCTCCGGTTTACAACTGCCCAAGCATCTGTGTGACGGTGCTTACAGTCCCCACTAATACCATAGTTCTGACCCAAACCAAAGCCACTTAAAAACCAACTCATGGATGCCTCCCCCAAGCCCTCTGCCATCCGTCCCCATCGATGCTCATAACACCAGCGACTGTGGATCCCAGCCGCCCGCGTGCCCTCCCTTCCCCCACCCTCTTCCAAGTCCCCAGAAGGACCCAACCCACTCCTGACCCTTGTGTTTCCCTTGCAGATCCGCGTCGTGAAGGCGTTCCGTAGCTCTCTCTATGAAGGGTTAGAAAAACCCGAGTCTCGAACCTCCATCCATAACTTCATGGCTCATCCTGAATTCCGGATCGAAGATTCCCAGCCTCACATCCCCCTCATCGATGACACCGACCTGGAAGAAGATGCCGCGCTCAAGCAGAACTCGAGCCCGCCGTCCTCGCTCAACAAGAACAACAGCGCCATCGACAGCGGGATCAACCTGACGACCGACACGAGCAAATCAGCTACCTCTTCAAGTCCAGGGAGCCCCATCCACAGCCTGGAGACGTCGCTTTAGCTGAGGTCCCTGTCGCCTGGCCACCCTCATGGACCCGCCACCACCTGCCTCCGGGCGCACACCCTTCCAGGCACCGACTCCCCGATGCAACGAGGAGCACTGGGCGGAACCCACACTGCAGAAAGAGAACCGGTTTCCACCCACAGACCCTTTCTCTGGCTGCCATGCTGTTTGAACTTTTTTTCACTCCTAGGTCATGGGAGGGGTTGCTCTGGGTTTATATGGAGCAGAGAGTGGCAGTGGATTTTGTTTTGTTTTGTTTTGTTTTTCAAAAAAAAAAAAAAAAAACCAAGAGCCTTTCCAGGTTCCAGCCCAGACACGGACCAGCCATGCACCCGCCGGCCACTGCGTCCCTAGCATGAATGTACCTGGACACTTTCAGTCCCCTCTCTCATTTGGTTCTTGGACGGTTCCGGAGGGGAGTTTTTCCGTTTGTTTTCTTAGGCGGGAACTGAAAACAGGAACTGCAAACAAACTGCTGTTCATTCAGTCCACTGGCCTGTGAGGTTTCAAATGCCTGCCCAGCATGGTCTCAGATGTCTAGATTAATTTAATAACTTTTTGAAATCACAGAGTAGGTTTGCACCAATGGAACCCAAGAACTCCACAGACACTCATGAGGTTATATCCGTTTCTTTGTATCTATATCAACGTATACTTCTTGGAGACTGTATACGTGTATATAGATAGGTAGATATTATATATATATATATACATATATATACATGGATATATAAAGTTCCTTTGCCGGCATGTTGCCTTGTTTCTGCTTAAATCGCTCTATTTTAACTTATGTCCTAAAAGAAGAATGTAATTTGTTTACAAACCTGTAGATAATGTCTTTGGATATATGTGTGGTTTAAGGACACTGGTGGCCAAGATGCTTATGAACAGCTCGGCCCAACAGACACATCCCCTGGATTGCATCTTTGAAGTTTTACAATAGCCATGCTCTGATTTTTGCCTGCTATTTCCGTTCAATAATGTCACTACTGTGGGAAGCTCAGGCAGAAAGCCAACAGCTCCCAAGGATCCATCCCAAGGAGCTAAGCAACCGCTCCACCGTAGACAAGGGAGAAGAGGAGAGAAGGCTTCCGGGGTTTGCAACCCGACTGACCAAGCAGGTCCTCTGACGCCAGCGTCTGTAGCGTACCGTAGAAGGCTTTTCTCTCAATGAAACTCGCTTGAGTTTACAGAGAGCATTTCAGAACTGAGTTGTCTTTGGCGCTGTCTGTGACTCAAGGTAGTGTTCAGATATTACAAATGCTATTGTGTTAATTTTTTTTAGTTAGTAATTTAGACATTTCTTTCCTTATAAATGGCAGCATAGGCACTGCCGACATATTGGATGAGGGTCGGTACGGCTTGCTGCTTTTGTTTTTCTTTTTAAAGAAGAATAGCCTTTTTTCTCTGCATTATTTAGATCCGAATGAACCTTATTATGTGTACATTGAGTTGTATTCAGTGTGATTTTTAAACCAAATTGTCTTCCTGTAGTCACAATATATACGGTAGCCTTTTAACAGCAAGTCCTGCTTTCCCAAACAGAAAGCCATTCTGATATCTTCCCATACCACAGGTGAGAAAAGGTGGCTATCCCCTCCCCCAACAATAACAGCACTAGTAGCCCCACTTAATAAGAGCTTGTCTGCCGGCCTCTTAACTGCTAAGCACTTTGTGGGTCTCAGCTTTTTTTCATAAAAGAACTTTTGTATTTAATACAAAGTTTGCTTTGAGACTTTTCAGCATACAATCTTTTTCCATAAACTTGTACAGTGCAAAAGACATTTTGAATACCGTGATCGATGATGTCCCGTGCTTCGAGGAGAACCAAACACTTTCCGCCTCACTGATGAATTCCATCCTCCACTCCCGCCCTTCCCACAACTGCTCCTCGCTCCTCAGCCTGGCCCCCAGCCCTCCTCCAGGCCCAGAGACCTCTTCACTAAACAAGATGACAGCCACTTGGGAAAAGAGCCATAGTCAGCTGGGAGGGCCCACGTCTGGATGGCTGTGGAAAAAAAAAAAACTTGAGTTTTGGTTTGGGGTTCAAAGTCAGCCCATCCCACCTGGCCACAATCTTTCTGTAAGGAAGACTATCTCAAAGGAATCTGAATGTATCCATGAGAGAGAACTGCCTCTCCAGCAATGGTGGACTGGCCCTAGATATGCTGGCTGGATTCCAGTACAGACACCATCAGAGCCAGCCCACAGCACCCCTCCAATGAAGGAAAGGAAATCTGGGGCAGCCTTGGAACAGGATAGGTTTTTGGTTTGGAGTTTGTTGTTGTTGTTGCTGTTGGTTGGTTGGTTCAGGGTTTTTTGGGGAGATTTCCTTTGTCATATTTTTCATCCTGCCTCCATTCAGTCATGCATCTATGACCTCATTCCATGCCGCCAGGGTTGTGCTTACAAATCAGGGTCCTTGGGCTTTGGAACTAGGCCTCAAGGCAAGAAGAAGTTCTCAGAGGAGAGTCAGTTTCTCAGACAGGGAGCAGAGGAAACTAGCAAGGAGGCCTGACATTAGCGTTGACTTCCCAGTGTCAGGCATGAGGGACAGCCCTATGTCCCAACCCCTCACCCTCACACATTCACACTCATTCACACACGCACACACCTACACAGGAGATGGTTGGTTTGTCAGAACTCACTGTAGTACACAAAGCTTGCACTTCTGCGTCCTATATCTAGCAGCATGGGGTACGTTTGGCAGTTCACCCCATTAGGGGGTCAATAATTTATGACCATTCATCTGTTTTTATGAATTTTTTTATCTAGACAATAATTGTAAATAAAGAATTCACCGTCTCTGCTCATTTAAATACTATGCAATGTTTATGCTTTCCATGGCTGGACTCTTCCGACTCACACAGGTGTTTATGGTGTATGGTATTTAAAAAAAATCAAGCAGAACATAGGAAACCTACTCTTTTCTAGGGTGGGACCTGCCCCCTTCTTCCCTGTCCTATGTAAGTGCATCAACTCCCCACCCCCTTGGCTAGGTGAGGAACTAGAGGTGAGGGCCCAGCAGAGAGCCTGCACTGTGGCTCTGGATGCTGCAGAGGAGGGGAGGGAGGCTCAGCTTGCTGCTCACAGCTGTCCAGGATTCAGGAGCAGTCTCCATTTCTCCACCCACCCCTCACCGATATCCTCATCCCTACCACAGCACAGAGCTAACTGGGGAGCGATGCCCTACTTCTGAAAGTGGATGTGCCACTGACTACTCCTAACCCAGAAACCACCCTGTCCTGGGTCCTCTGGTTGATAAAGAGCCACTGTGACGCCATGTCTGTTGAAAAGCCACCTTTGCCACCTCCTGATGTCTTACATAGACTTAAGCCCAACTCTTGAATCACTCTTTCATCCCCCTCATCCACTGTCCTTTCTGGCACCAGCTACGTGTTTTAACTATTGTCCCTCACAAATGTTTTGGTACGTAGCAGGGGGTGAATACCCATCCTTCTATACAATATTTCCACTCACATCTGTTCTTCTGAGGAAATGTTAAAATTTTGCCAGATCCCCTTCCTTTTGCTCTCCTCTTAACCCTCATACTGGGCCCTGTTGCTCTATGTGCCCCCCAGACCCATTGTAATCATGGTCCACTCGGAGCCTCTACATGCGGAAGGTCCCGTTAGGATAGAAAAAAACAGCATCCTGAATTCTGGGAAGCTGTCAACTTACCTATCCCCTAAGCTCTGAAATTGTCAGGAGAGGCCATCAAGCCCCACCCAACAAGTCACATCCTGTGGTTGTGCCAGGGCAGGTCTCCATGTGCCCCTTGCCTGGGTGGGAAAGGAGGACCTCTCCCAGACCCAGTTCTAAGAGAAAACATTCAGCCTCATCGGAGCCACTTGGCAGAGGGACACTTCCTGTCTGCCTTTTCTAAACTGGCTTTTGATTATTTTATTTGGGTTACTGGGGGGTCATTTCTTATTAATTCAAAGTTTTAGTACCTTTGGGATACAAACATGTCTTGCTTGGATATCTTGGCACCCTTGGTCCCCTCCCTGCTTGCTGTAGCTATAGGAAGCTGCCAACTGAACCACACACTGACAAGTCTTCCACCCAACTCTCTCCTGCTCTAGTATCTGAAGTCCCTCCCTTAGAGAACCCTAGGAGCGAGATACTTCTTGAAGCACCAAGGGCCCAACGAGACCCTAGGAGTCTCCAAATATTTTTCCAAGGTCCAAATGATGCCCTCTTATTTAGTAGATAGATCCAACCCACCCAAGGTGTGGAACCCTAGGCCCTGGGCAGCTACCATCATCCCCTCTTCCCAAAACAAAAGGTTTGAGGCTACTTGGGGCCACCTTCCAGGCCCTTGGTCTGTTTTGTAATGTCTGTGGTGCTCTCCCTCCAGGGCCCTTCCTCTCGGGGGTCACCACACTTTGCTAACTCTCGTGTGCACATCTTTTATAACAGAGTAGCGAGGGGATGGTGCCGCCTCCAGCTTCCACAAGCTGCCTGGGCTCTGGGGGACTCTGGGACAATCGGGGCTGGGAAGTGACTGTGCTCTTATTGTACACTCTATTTCTCTGTATCTCTGGCTTGTGCTCTTTGTAACTAACGGGATTTGTCTGCCTTTTCAACACTATACTAAGCAATAACAATAAATGCACACGTGGAAACGCAGGCATGATAACCATCCCAAGACCTTTTTCCGAAGAACAGCTGGGTCCCCATTATCTATGGATTTGAACTTGGGGAAGTTGAGTCTCTGGTTGGGAAAGACATTTTGCCCTAGCTCACATCTTTGAGCTCCAGCATCTGAGAAACCTGTCATGAGCCATTAACCCATCTCAAAAAGACAAGGGGCCTCAGGAAGAAGAGAAAAGAGTAACTCAGAGGCAAAGTGGCAGGGAGGTGAAGGGAAGCAATTGGAGGAAACTATGAATAGACTGACTGTGGTCTGGGATAAACCAGAGGAAGAAGGTGGGAAATGTGGACACAGATTATAGGTGGTATTCCCTACTGAGGAGGAGGGAATCAAACAGGAGCCTGGTACCCTAGTGTTTTAGTTTGCATTCTATTGTTGTAATATAACACAATGGCCAAAAGAAACTTGAGGAGGAACAAATTTGTTTGGCTTACATATCCTAATCATGGTCCATCACTGAAGGAGGTCAAGGCAGGAACTCAAGCAGGGCAGGAATCTGGAGACAGGAACTGAAGCAGAGAATGTGGAGGAACCCTGCTTCCTGGCTTGTTCTTCCTGGCCTGCTTTCTTATACTTCCCAGAACCACCTACCTAGGGATGTCACCAACCAATGGGTTGGGCTCTCCCACTTCAGTCACTAATCAAGAAAATGCTCCACCAGACTTGCTTATAGGCCAGTTGGATGGATGCAACTATTGAGTGAAATTCCTATTTGTCAGATGGCCCTGCTTTGTGCCAAAATGGCAAAACCAAAACCACAACAAAACAAACGGACAAAAAGCCACCTAACCAGCACACCTAGTAATTTCAATCTGGCAAACCTCTCATGGAAAATACGCCAGGCTGAGAAACACTCACCAAGTTACATACACAAAATCCCAGCTCTTACCAACCTGAGCTGACCCCCAAATCAAGCATTAGTGGCCTCATTCTAACTTCTAAACACTGTTTCAGTTCCAAGCTTACTTTCATCCAACATCAACTTTCAAAGTAGATATTACAAGCTGAGCATGCTGAATCTGAAAATCTGTAATTTTCTGAGTGCCAGCACGATGCCACAAACAGGAAACCCTTCACCACCAAAGTTTGCTTTAGGCCCAAAATTACTAAAACTATATAAATTCCGATGATGTGTGTAGGAGTACATAATATGCATGTGTTTGTAATCAAACTTGGACCCTATCCCAGGATATCTCATGGGAATGCAAATGTTCACAAAATCAAAATGAAACACCACTGGTCCCAAGAGAAGAGACACTCCACTTGCATTGTGCTTCCCAGCTAACAGAGGAGGAAACAGTCACTCAAAGGGACAAAGAATGGGTCCTCAGAAGCAGGAGATGAGGTTACGGTAATTCCCCTTCTTTAGCCAGAGTTGGTTCTCTAAAGCTTTATAACACTGCGCCTTCCAGTCTACCTGCTAATGTCTTAAGTTGCTGTCGCTTATCTGAGATCCTCAATGTCTTCAGCTTCAGGATTTATTCCAGAAAATTCCCTCCATAACAATGACACCTCGTGCATTATATTTACAAACACAAGCCTATTGTCACTATTTTTCACTGAAGAAAAGTAAGGCTCAGAGAAAACTAACTTGACCCTAACAATTAAAGGATTAGTGGTACAGCTACTGAGGGACCTGTTTCTTGGAGTATAGGAGGCCAAGTTGGCCCCTCAAGTTTGTTTTCTGTTTTATCCTAAGTACTGCCTCTTCACATCTTTGTTATAACGTCTCCATTGGAAGAGAAGAAATATCTCAAAGGTACTATGGTGGGAGGGCAGGGATATAAGGCTGTCACTCTCCTGGCCCCTCTCCAAAGCCCTTTCATTCTCCCTGAGTTTTAGCTGGTAGCTATCTTCTGCCATGGTTTTTAATCTCAGTTTCAACATAGGACCAGAAAGGATTTTGACTTAGCTGGGCAGGGGGCGGGGGAAGAGGGTCCATCCTGGCCACTTGGCTTCTTAAGGTCTGTAGTGGGTGGGAGGATGGGACCATGTGCATCTGAGGAGTTCAGCATCCTCTTACAGCGCTTGAGTAGAAAACCAAAAGCTAGGGGCAAGGGATTAAGGATCTCAAATTCTCATATTGCCCTCCCTTGAAGCAGTCAGAGTCTCAGGGATTAGAGACTCTGGTTTGCCATCCCTTAAGAAAGTTGGTGCACTAACTATTGGGGACACTGGGGATTTTGGGGTCCTGGTCTCCCGACAGAACTTCCAAGATTCCCCATAGGCCAGACTCACGGGATCCCAGAGATCCCTCTGGAAGTCTGTGGTCTCTGAAGTTATCGGCCCTATAGCAGTGCCGTCCTGCTAAAGACCTAACAAAGCACTAGTCAGTCTACTCGCCCAATTAACCTCTACCGCATTCGTGATAAAAGCCAGCGGGACCCAGAACCCACAGCAAAGGAGAGTGAAGTTGTAATCACTAATCATTTCATTTATGCATCTCAGGAACCAGGAAATCTTGGTCTAGGTAGAAAATCCACTAGTGACAGTTTCAGATTACTAAATTCCCATGATTAGGGTCGCCACAGCATTCAGAGCCTCACAGATGGCCAACAATAAGGGCCGAGCCGAGGGAGTGCGGGGCGCGGTTCCAGGAGAGGCGGAACCTTTGTGTGAGTCGAATGTGTTGCTGACCGGAAGCTCCTGGGTGACGGCCTGCCGGCGGGCCGGCGCCGGAAGTGAAGCGATCTGTGCTGCCACGTCCGAAGCTGTGAGTCGCCGCTGCAACAGCTATGGTGAGTGTTGCGGTACCGGCCCCAGTCGTGACCTTCGGGCTGTCCCCCTTCACCTCCTCCAGGTTTGCATGTTCTGCCTCTGTGGGTTTCAGAGTGCGCGCTTATAGCAAGGCCGCTGGGCCTTCCGGAACTCAGAGGCCCAGGCTGCTGTGGCACCTCCTGACCGTCTCGTGTCTTGTCTTCCGTAATTGGAAAAACAAAAAAGCCAAAGCTATCTTAGGAGCTGCAGTCTACCGAGCCCTTAGTACGTTTCCACCATCGCACATCCCCTGCCTGTGGGTAGGCGGCGGAGCCGGTGCTGCTATCATCAACACTTGAACTGGGCAGTGGCAAAGCCGAGCTCCAAATCCTCCTAACCATTTGGTCCTGCCACCTACTACCTCAGCAAAAGTGGTGGGAGGAATCAGTTGCTCAGACACAGGGCTCCCGGTTATGATAGCCCTTCGGGAAACTGATGGGAGGCGTAGCTGAATGGCTCTAGTCTAGGGCATCGTCTCGGATTTTTTTTTTAACTTTCGTGGTATCTGCAGCGTGTGTTCGCTGCCCCCTGAGTCACTGAGTGAATGAATGAGAATCAGCCGCTGGAAGTCTTAGACCTGGTTGGCACAGTGATGCAAAGAGCTGCCTTCCTGTTCTGTTGGCCTTTGGCTCTTCTGTTGCTGAGTTGGAGACTCTTTTTTTTTTTTTTTTTTTTTTTTTTGGTTTTTCGAGACAGGGTTTCTCTGTGGCTTTGGAGGCTGTCCTGGAACTCGCTTGGTAGTCCAGGCTGGTCTCGAACTCACAGAGATCCGCCTGCCTCTGCCTCCCGAGTGCTGGGATTAAAGGCGTGCGCCACCAACGCCCGGTTTGAGTTGGAGACTCTTAAATTGGTCATGGAGCTCATTCTCAATGTGTAACTGGTGTGATTCTGAGGAGCTGAATTGTTCTGAGTGCTGTTTCTTACTGTGTTCCAGTAACCCCGTAAGTGATGGGTGCTGCAGAGGACTGCTCTAATAGCTTTATACCACATAGCATCCCAAAGTGTGGGTCACAACCCATGGCGGTTGGGTGAGAGTGGTCAGAAAGAAACGCCAGCTCTCACAGGTCCTTTGGGTCACCAATGTGAAATTACTTTTCCCTCAGCCAGTCTGGATTGTGGGGATTCTTGAGACCTGCCTTATATTGATGGAGGGGGGAGCTGGTCTGGTAGCATGGGCAGCAGGCTGAGTGGCAGAGGGTTAGGAGGTAGGCTTTATTCCCAGCAGTCTGGCTTTGGCAAGGGTTCTCTTTTCACTGGCTCTTAAGGTGTTTAGTTCTTCAGTTGGCTGTGATTGACTGCTCCTTGTGCCTCTCAATGCTCATGGGAAAACGTCAGTGTCTACAAACAGGTGCTATTCCTTTTCCTCTAGTCTTTGGAGACCCTCAAGTGCACTTTTTAGTGCATTTAGAATTCTCAAAAAACAAAAACAAAAACCTGTACTTACTCTGTGTACCTTCTGAATACCTTGGTACCATGCTCTCCCAAGTCCTACCTTTCTGAAAAGTAGCCCAGGCTAGCTAGCCTTGAATTCTTGATCTACCTTCCTGAGCTGGAGTGTTAAGGTCCTGCACCATAGTATCCTGCCTTGAAGAGTCAGACTTTGGAACTGCAAGGTTTGCACTGAAAAAGGTGACATGTGGGAAATGGTGAGAAATATCAATGTCAGCTGGAAGCCACCTTTTCAGTCCCCTTTTCTCTTCCAAGAATTAAATAATGGCTGAGCCCAAAAAATGTATATTTTTGTTCATTTATTAGTTCAGTGAATAATTACTGAGTTTCTTCTGTTTGTAAAACATGGTGCTAAATAATTTTCTTATTTTTCTGTTTTTGTATTCATTTATTTTTTTTACATTCCATGTGCTAAATAATTTTAAAGAGATTCAAAGATGAGGGATATGATGGCACACGCCTTTAATCCCAGTACTCAGGAGGCAGAGGCAGGTGAATCTCAAAGCTCATGGTCAGCCTGTTCTACATAGTGAGTTCCAGGCCAGCTAGAACTGTGCATTAAGAATGGAGAATGTGTCAAAGCTTCAGATAGGTGGAGCCTACATTCTCTAGCAGAGAAGTAGCATACAGTACTGTAGCTGTCTAGGACTTTTATATATGTAAGAGTCTAGCTAGTTGGGGATCAAGGGAGGCTGATTTTAAAAACAAATGGGGAAATCATAGATGGCCATCACAGCTATTTTCTGCCTCTACAAATTATCAAACCTGG